CTTGGAACTAGATGATCTTTGAGGTCCCTTCCAACCCAACCCATTCTATGGTTCTATGATTCTATGATTGTTTTATTCTTTAAATTATTTTCTAAACCACTTAGATCTTATATTCCATATTTGTCTTGTAAAATGTAGTTCATACCCATTTCTTGCTCTGTGGTTCTTTTGTGATATGGTCTTGCTCCCTCTCTCAGATCCAGTAGTGCTTGCCCAAGCAGGGCAGTACTGCAGCGTGGTTCAGTGGGATTTGGGGTGGAGGCCTTTTTGTGGTGGCTCTGAGCTTTATGCTGCCCAGTTCTTACTTTCTTAGCTTCCCCATACACAGACATCATCTTTTGTCAAGCTCGCTTGTGCCCGTATATGCCAACATGCCTGTGCTACAGTTAAGACATGTAGAGAGTAACTAAGGTAGTCATAGTCAAGTTAGTTGTGGTACCAACAGCAGCAGAGACCGTGTGGTCTTCATAGAATCACGGAATGGTTTGGGTTGGAAAGGACCTCAAAGACCACCTAGTTCCAACCCCCCTGCCATGGGCAGGGACACCCTCCACTAGACCACGTTGCCCAAAGCCCCAGCCAACCTGGCCTTGAACACTTCCAGGGACGGATCTTGTCCAAGTGTAGATATGTGCTTGGTGCCTAACTTGTTCTGTAGTCTGTGCATGCCGTGTTTCTTTCAACACAAGATTTTAAAGCTTAGTTTTAGTGCAGTCAGTCTCCTAAAACAAAACAGCTGTTCTTGGAGTTCTCAAAATTTACATTTTAAAAGATACATAGTGAAATTCTAGTCCAAAATTGCTTTGAAGCTGTAATATGTCTTATTCCTCACCTGAATTTGATTACGTTTGATTTTCAGCTACTTGAACTTTTTCCTTCCCTACATTGTTTTAAAGGGTTATCAGCATCATGTATCTGGTTACTAACAAAAGTACAATAGGCATTCTTTCCTGAAGGAGAAATGCATTATTTTCTGTAGTCTCTTAATATAAAACAGATTTTGAATTCTTCCTTAAGCTTTTTTCTAAGTACTTTCCAGTGTCTTGAGTATGGAGACAAGAATGTAATGGTTCTTCGAAAATGTTGTTTCTTCTCAGTATTCTCCTCTTCATCCAGCCAAGAGCTGTGTTTGCACTCTTTAACCTTTGCCTCACACTGTTATCCACTTTCCAGTTGGTTTTACTCTGAAGTTGGTTATAGTCTTTTTGATTTACTGCTTTCCTGCTACTGTGATTTACATTCCTGATACCTCGATGTGTGACCTTATATTTATCTCTGTTAAAACACAATTGTTCAGGCAAAACCCATTTTGTCACCTGTTCTGAATGATTTTACAGGACTGACTTTTCCTTTATCGCTATCTATAGCTCCATCAATTTTTGTGCCATCTGCAAATTTTGGTAGCATTTGTTTCTTGCAGATCATTGGTAGAAATGCTGCCTAGCATTGAATAAAAGTATCTTTGCAGAATCTTGATGGGATGAGAGTTTTTCACAATTTTTTATTTTACTTCGAACTGTTCTAGCAAGCCAACTTTTAATCCAGTTCATATGTGCTGCCTTGAATTTGTTTAAGACTAGTATTTTGTACAATACCAAGGAAATTCCTGAAATTCCTAATGTCAGCAAGCATTTGTCAATCAAACATTTATTTTTTAAACCACATTATTCATTTTATGATTGTTCTATTAACCTTTTAAAATACTGTTAAAGCATCAGCTATTTCCCAGTCCTTTTGAACTTCATTAGCTTTCCAGGGTTTCTTAAACTCAACATTAGTAGTTCACAACATTAGTTGAGTACTTTTAAGAGTCTAAAATATAGTTTATTGGGTCCTGTGTGTTTAAAAATGTTTAGCAGTTGATGTTTAACATCCAGTGTGGTTACTGTTGAAATATTTTATTCTGATTCCTAAACTGTGAGCACTTTAAGATTAGAGGAAATAAACTTTCCCTTTCCTCCTCTCTACTGTAAGCCCGATCTTGCAAACATTTTGTATGGGCAGGTCTCTGTCTCTGAATGGAGACACAAAACAAATTTATGACCAGATGAAAACACACTGTGGATAGGAGAGAGAAAGAGCTCAGCTGCTCCCAGTTCATGTGTGATATGACCTGCAGTGCAAACATCAGATGGTTTCCTCTTCGGCTTTCAGCTAAACCCACCCATATACATTTCAGTCAGCATGAACCACACTGATTTATGCATTCTGGAACACACTTCTGGTTCAGGGTTTGTGTTTATCCAAGGTCCTACTTGACATTGAAAGATATGTGCAAAGAATCAGTGAGTAGGATTTGTTTTACATAATTGCATTTTCAATTTTTATTTATATTTTTAAGAGCCCGATCCCTTACCATTCTTTTATTGTTGCCCATAACTTAGGTCTTCCTCCATAGCTGACACTTCTTACTCGTTGTTTTTCAAAACTTGGAGCAAAAACTCTTTGTACCATTTTTGCAAGCAGAAGGGGAAGGATGTAAAATACATTCTTCCCACTCATAGCACGATGTTGGAAATGTTCTCAGCACCCACCAGTCTAAAAGAAGGTCTCTGTCCAGCCACATTTCACTCTCTTAGCTTATTGCGGGGGGGGGGGGGGGGGGGAGAC